ATCGAATATTCGTATTTAATCAGCAAGCAAAATTCATATTTAATCCAAGAGTCATCATATATTCATATTTAATCAGAAAGCAAAAATTCATCAACCACATCGCGCATGCTAGTAATATACTCAGTAGTTGAGCTAAGATGTCTAGCTACTCAAGGCGTGGGGTTTTAACTTGGTATAGTAGTATTGCTTGGTGAACAGTGGTTGTTGGTGAGCACTCTTGAGCCTAGAAGTGGATAGCACATACAGTTTGATGAGGTGGGTGAGGTTCCGCAACTCTTCCGGAATGGGGCCAGCCGCGTCCAGCGAGTTTATCTTCCTGCTCCATCCAACCAAGAACAAAATGGTTCATCTTCTCCAACTGATCAGCTGGGCCGCCGGTCAGCAATTCGGGCAGACGAGAAAAATATGGAACGGATGGCGAGAGAGGAAGAGCTGGAGCTTACAGTCTGGTGACGTGGCAGAGGGTGCCGTTCTGGTCGGTGCAGTCGCACTTGATGGCCGGGTTGAAGTTGGGGTTGTCGTCCAGCGGCGTGTCGTCCGTGGCGGCGCCGCTGCAGGGGTTGCCGCTGATGTTCCACGACGCCGGCGCCGCTAGCCCCAGCTTCCCCAGTATCGCGTTCACGGCCGCCGCTGCATTCCACCCCGCCCAGAAACCAACCAACAACCGTCAACCAAACAGAGCTTAACAACCAGAGATGAGCAGCGAATGCGTGCTACTACTACTAATCCACTGCATACCTTCGGTCGGGTCGGTCTGCGGCGGCGGCGGCGGAGCCTGAGCCTGAGCGGCCGCCCTCCAGGAAGAACACAGCAGGGCTGACAGGAGCAGCGGCAAGAGGAGCACGGAGCCATGGCGGAGGCACGAGCTCCACCCTGGACTCGGAAGACCCATCTCCCTCCCTCCCCTCCTCCCCGTCAGATTGCAGTCCTACTGCCTACTGGAAGAAGAGGCGATGAACCAGAGCAATAAAGCAGGCATCCGCTAGAGAATAGAGATATTACTCAGAGGAGCTGTGGGAGGAAACATCAAACAAACATGCAGCCAAGTAGGTGCTGGGCGATTGTTTTTTTTATGGAGGTGGCGGCCCCTACTCACTATAGTACAGTACAGCACTCCTACTAGGGCGATCAAGCTGCATGCACCTGCTCCTACTACAATGCGGCCAAAAGAAGAGCGAGTTATTGGTACTGGTATTTTTTCCTGTTGTTATCTGGTGTGTTGCTGAATTCTATAGATGAATGCATAAATGCGCGGTGCTCGGATGGAATAGTCTATTCTCATATGGCTGGCTTGGACTGGGACCAAGAGGCGTGACAAGAAAAGATTGAGCTCACATGAATGAATCCAACAGAGACTCGTCGTGCTTGGCATTGTCCTGAATTTACATTCTTTTTTCTGCCCCTTGATGGTTGTAGCGCGCAAGTAGGAATATACATGCATCCACATGCACACGGAGCAGGTGGCGAAGCAAATTAGTTGGAATCTCGCATGGACGTTTTATTAAGAGTTAATACCACTATTCATACATAAACTTGTAGGGGTGGAAACAGTTTCATACAAAAACTAAAAAACCCCACAAAACTAGCCCTCCAACTTGTCTGCTGTAACAAATTCATACAAAACCACCCCGAACTGCACACGTGGCATGCCATGTAGGCTCTGTCGGGCCCGGATCACGTTTTTACAAAGAAACCCTCGCGCTTTAGCAATTTCGCAGACAAATCCATCCCTGGACAGTAAAGCACCTGGTCGTCGCCCCCATGCAAAGCCCTTCCAACCTTCTTTCGCCCACGTCCCCTGTTCCTCCTCATCTCTGCTCGCTCCTCCTGCGAGGCGATGCCGCCGTCGGCCTCATCGGCGGCGACACAAGGCGCCATGGAGCCGCGGTGTAGGGAACCCGGCGAGTTCCCTCTTGAATACGGTAAGGACCTGCACCCGGCGCTTCCCCTGTTCCTGCACCGGCGCACTAGGGTTTTTCAGGCCGATCATGGCGATGTAGGGTTGAAAATTGGGTCGATCTGCTCACTAGGGTTGGTTGTGTGCGTCCCCAGGGTTCGTAGGGGAACT